CTACAAGTTCTCATGTCTTGCTACTCAGCTGCAGAGTGGGCAGAAACCCCTGCTGGGTTGCTTTCCTCCTTTGCCAGCCACAAAACAGCCCTTAAACAGATCTTGCTGAAAGCCTCATATAATTCAAGGGAAACAGGCTTATTCTAAAGAGCTAGCTGTCAGGAACATCTCAGAGGTTTCAGCTTCTATCTAAGCAAGAACTCTTAAAAACATTTCTAAGGTTTCACCACTGTTATTACCCAACATCTTGCAAAAGCACCCAGATTTCCTTCACCCTGGAGCCTTACGTTACAGAAAAATTTAGCACCGCATTCACTTGAGTTTTTTCCCTCTTTCTAAGAAATTCTCATGCCCCCATGTTTCTGTCCTAGGAGAAAGCTCCTTTTATAAAGACCTTCAAGGACAAAACAGTTGTCCCAAGAGGGAGGAGCAGAAGCCAGTGACACTGCATAGAAAAAGAGGCAAGTGACAAAAGTATGTGCCTTGTCTTGCTCAGGTTTTGGGGGCCTGCCAGTAAGGAAGCAGTGTCTCTGAGTTCTCCCTCATTAGGGAGTTACTTGAGATGAACCAAAAGGCTAGAGGAATAAAACATAATTCAAGTTTGTAAGTAAAGAGAAAAACTTTTGAGCCTTCCTCCATCTGCTTACTGAGAGATAAAATGAAAGTGGATACTAGTCCCAGTGGCTCATTATTTAACTTTGAGCTCCTGGCTTTTTATATTAGAAAAACATTGTTTTACCTGTCTGGTCCATCTACAGAAAAGAATGGGTTTGTCAAATTCAAGGCTTCTTGCAAAGTTTTATTTTGGTGTTAGTACTATGTAATTATATATAAAAGTTCATACATAAAAATGTATGCACATATGAATTTTTATGTATCTTCAGGCAGAAGAATAGACTTAGTTATATATACTGACATAATCCCCCAAAGGCTTCATAGCTTCTCCACATTTTTTCATTTCCACAGGGTTAGGGTGTTGTGTTACTGCATTTACATGTATACTGTACAGGTCTTCTGTTGGCTCAGCACACACACACCCCCCCACACCCCCCCCCACTATTTCAGTATCAGAGCAAGGCCACCAAAAAGAAGTTACCATTGAATACATAAAAATACACTCTTCGAGGGAACAGTCAAGCCTTAAGAGGAAGAGCTACTCATCACAGAGTAAACGGCTGGGGGGTGGGGGGCAGGGCATAAGACGAGCAGAGCAGCAGAGCTTTCGATTCATTTGAGCTCACTGCAACCCTGTGAGCAGATCTGTTTAACACAGACCCAGAGGATGCAAAGCCCAAGTCAAGAACAATAACGCACTTCATGTCAAAGCCCAGTGAAGAGATTTCTTTTGACAGCTCCTGTTTCATGCTCCCAGTGAGCTTCCTGGCTTCCTACGCAGGCACACGAGCTTGACCTCTCCCATTCACCCACAAGTTGGCCACATGTAAAATGGCCATTAATTCCAGCTGGCACAAGGGTTTGGCTGAGGCCCTTCCTTCCTGTCAGCAACAGGGAAAAAGTTGTGGGGATGTGTGGAAAGATGCAACAAACAAGCAGCAATCCACCAACTTCCACTGCAAGCTGTCTGATTTGCACCACTTAACTGATAATCTACTGTCACACCAACATTTAGGCAAAAATAGTTAGAGCAGACTGAAATTGAGAAGTATATTCTCTCCAGAAGCATGAACCACACAGACAGCAGCCCAGTCTTGATCTGATGAGAATCCAAGAAATAAAGCATTCTAAAAGCTGTGTTGGAGAATATTAGAAATACTAGGATTTTTTTTCAGTAATAAACTGATTAGTAATTCTAACCTAAACAAAGTGTGAAGGCAAGCATCACAAACATCTTCCACTGAAAAGGCTAGACAGACATGCTTCTTTCCATAGTCAGACCACAGGGCTTCAGCATAGTTAGAAGAACATTTACAAGACACTAAACTAAAACTGCTTTTGAAAAGGAAACACACTGGACACAACCTTGCAAGGTTATAGCTGAACATTGAAAAAGCCTTAGGAACGACAAGACTGGCTGGTTTGCTTGTGGTTAAACAAGATGTATTTGAAGGGAGAACTGGACACTGCTCTGCATGTAGGACTTTTAACTGCAAACAACCAGCTGTCAGTAGAAACTGCTACAAAAACAAACATGTCCAAAGATGTGCAATACAGTCAACAGCAACTTTCTACATGAAACAGGTAACCAGACTCCTTAATACAAACATGGCAGGGACTAAACTGGCCTGAAGTGCTTCATTAAACTTTGCTTCCCTACTGAAAAGGTTCAAACTCTAAGGACCAGACAAATAAGCAGTGAAAGCAGAATGTGGAAAACTTAACCATAATAATTACCACTTAATCTCAGTTGTCTGATAGCAGGCAATGGAAATTTGTGTAATGCAGAAAAAGTAACAACATCTAAAGCAGTGCAACTCCAAATGCTCAGGATCAACAGGATACACAAAGCCAGTGAGGTTTGGTTCTGTGGGGTTTTGGGGTTGCATATAGTTGTGAGGTGGTGGGTTTTTTGTTAAAAGCACATCCCAGATCACCAGTTTGAGTTACAGTGCAGTTCTACAACACTAAGGTAGGAATTACCTTCTCCAAAGCCAACATGAGGGTGGAGATGACTGTCCTGGGGTCAGATCTCATCTGCCCAGATATGCAGTACTTAATTGTTGTGGGGCACAAACGTATCTTGCACAAAATACTCAGCAATATTGAAGTTTCTGTAACTAGTTTGGGGTGTTTCTGCCATGCCTTTTAAGTGTTTCATGAAAATCTTAAGTGTTAGGGAAGAGAAGAAAAAGGCAAGACAGATGACAGAGCAAGCACAGAGTGCTTTCCTGGTAGAGTACCTCCAAGCAAAGTATCAACACCACTCCTCAATTTCAACATGTTTTGTGGAAAATATATCCATCTCTAAAATCTAAATCTATGACTAGCTACAATACAGAACTATCTTCTCAGCTGTGAGGTTTTTATACACTGAAGTTATTCTAAAAAACCTCAGGATAACTCAAAATCAGATCTAGGCACATTGAGTTAATTTCAGCAAAATATAAAATCCAAAATAAGAGGGTCAAGGTGTAAAACATCTCAAAAGAAAGGCAGATCTATTTAGTGCTGTGAAGATTAATTAGAAATAAAATCTATGAAAATTGTCATAAATAAAGCTGTCATGTTACGGCATCATTGAACAGAGGGAAAGCACCCCTGTATTCCAAACAGATTGTATTAAAATTTATTTTAAAAGAAAAAACAAGACAACGATTTAAAATAAACATGGTATATTCTACACATCTGTAGATCAACACAATTTTACATCAGCCATTTTTAACTTTTCAAAGTTCTGATGCAGCATCTTCTAAAACATATGACAAGTGTTGGTTTCCACCATTTCATAATCATCCAAACATTACCCAAATGAAACTATTTGCTTAAGTGAAGCTTTATTTTTCATGACCAAAGATGGCTCTACTAATACAAAAGCACCTGTTAAACAATTATCCCCACCTAGTTTTTTTTTAAATGAAGTCTGTTCAGCCTTTTTTGGTTCTGTTCCATTGCCTGCATAGAAATCAGCATAAAGCTAAGTTGCAAGCTAAGCTTCACTTTAGCAGTGCAATAAATGGCATCAAACTTCATGAAACAAAGATAAAAACACTGATAAAATTCAACTATGTAAAAAACTATTAAAACAAGAATATTTGTGGGTCACAACTAGACTAGCTTTCAGTGTGCAGCTTTCCTCAGGAAAAGTGCTTCTTCCCGATTCACGTGAAAAGAATGAAGCACGCATCAAAAGCCTTTTTTTCATACAGAAATGCCCATTAAAAGAATTCTATGGTATTATAAGACAAAAGAGATATTAAGGTGGATGAAGCATTTTGGCCCAGAGTATGTTTTATGACAACTACAGACACATTACGCTTGTGTAGCATATGACAGGTAAAGGGATTGGCTCAGTAAGGTAAAAGTGTCCATTTTTATAAATACATGTCATTATTGCTAATATGCTACACATTATCATCCAACTTTTAAAGCTGCTTTGTTAGCATTAGCCTTGTAATTAGCAGCTCACATTTGTGATGACAATATGCTATTCCATACGAAGAAAAGCAGCATAAATACAACTATAAAAACAAAAGGCTTATGCAACATTCTTCTCTATCTTTGCTGTGGCTTTTTTTTGATTAAGAAGTGTTAAGAGAAAACAAGTCCAGTTCACCACAAATTAGGAAGTCTTAAAATGAGGTTGGAAACCAAGCTACAGGGAGCAGAGAGGAAAAACATGGCATGCATTATAATCTAGTCCTTTTAGTCATACCACTGGAATACAAAAGTCCAATTTAAAGGCTAGACTAACAATAGAAGGCAAAAAGCCAAGAGTAGACTTAGTTTGATATTCAAATTAAGATTAGAATTTTAATCAGTAACAGCAAACTCACACGGCCCTTTAATATATTCACAATATATACTGCAATTGAATACTTAATTGTGACTAGTATAGTATGTATGTTCACTTTAAAAAGGTATTAAATACCTGTATCATGAAATTACATTCGTAAGACATTGTGTAAGAAAATAGCTCATGTGTGAAATGCTTCTGAAAAGTATTTCTGCTCCCCCTACTGTGTCATACCCCACCCCCCCCCC